GTGTACGGGTGAGTAAGAGGAGGGTGAGGGGTAACCGTAGGGGTGGGGTGAAGGCTGGCCGTATGGTTCTGGTGGGTAGGGGCTTGAGTTTTGGGTAAAATAGGCCTGGGGTGGGGGGTGGGTGGAGTAGGTGGGCCTGGGGCCGAGAAGGCCGGGATAGGGGCTGGGGTTCGGTGTCTGCCAGGGCTGTCCGTGGGTGGAGCGGGGATTCGATCCGGAGCTTCGACCTCGACCGCGGTTGCGGTGACCGCCACGGCCACGGCCGCCGCCGCCGCTATGGTGCTGCTGTCCCTGGCCGCCGCTGCTGCTGCTGTGATGCCCGCGGCCTCCGCCAGCGAGGCTGTGATAGGGGGCGCCAGAGCTGCCGGACGAGAGAAGAGCCGTGCCAGTGGAGGAGTCGTCCTCCAATTCTGATTTTTGACGCTCCAAGAGGAGGAGGGCTGATCGGGTCTGAAGGAACGTCGGAGGCAGTGTTTGAAACTGCAAGAAGGACGTCTGACCCCGCATGTCATCCGGCAGCCCTCGAAGGACTTGTAACACCAGTTGTTGTTCCGAGACGAGGGCATCTACGTCGTCCAACCAATCGGCGATATTCTTGAGGGTTTGACTATAGACCGAGATGGACAGAGAGCCTTTCTTCGTCGTCCGGAATTGATGTTCCAACTGCATGGCTCGGGCGGGTTTGTTGTCATGGAAAAGAGAGTGAATGGATTGCCAAAGTTCCGCGGCCGAGTTGGTGGAGGAGATCACGAGATCGGAGACTTCGTCGTTGATCGTAGAAACGATCCACCCTTGGAGAAGTGCATCAAGTTGATGCCAATCGGTGTCGTCGGCACTAGACGGGACTGATTTCCCGGTGAGGAAGTCCCCAAGGGAGAAGCGACGAACCAATAGGAGAAAAAGACGACTCCACTTTTTGTAGTTCGGTTCCGTAAAGCTCAACAGGATTGGAACGTGAAGCTTCACATTGGAGATGGTGGTGAATGCCAAGTGAGGAGTAGAGACGGAGGAGGTGGGCTTGTCGGGGGTGGCTGCCTTCTCGGACATGATGGCGGCTGGTGCTTTGGAGAAGAACGCCGCTGCAGAGACTCGAGAGATGACTGGTGGTGGCGCTGCTGGGAGACGTCTTGGAGACGAGAGAGACGCCGGCGCTGGAGAAGGCAGGCGGCGCTAGGGTTTGGTGCGACGGAGAGCTGCGCACGAAAAAATTTAGGGTTTAGGAAAGAGGCTCCGATACCATGAAGAATAATTGTTTTCTATATTCATCTTGTGGAGTCAAGCCCCGTATATATACAAAGTTATCGGTCTCCTAACTATGGTAGAATACAAACAAGGAAATCCTATACAAAGGAAACTACCATATATAAATATATTAAATATACAATAATATATTTAACATATACTTTAATATGAAAGGGCTGTAGGTCTAGACGGATTAGGGTGTTACATCAAATCTATTACATTAAATGTTTATTGCGTTAACCGATGTTTAATTGATTGTATTGGTTCGTGATTCCATGTATGACAACTTGTAGTTTATAGCTGTGAATTTCTTTAATCAATATTTATAGGGTATACGTAACATTGAATTGATAAAAATTAAATGCTTTTGTTCATACCAAAGTATCATACTGTCTTCTTTTAAGAAATTTTTTTGGTTCTTAAATCAAAATTTAAATATCATTCTCTTCTTTTAAATCAAAATATTTAAGTCATATTCAAAATGGTTTGCATTAAATGGTTCGTGGCTCAAGAACCACGTTTTCCAATGTATTTCATCTATTGCATTCATTTAATGCAAACCATTATTGTGTGAACCAATGTTTAATGGGTTGTATTGGTTCGTGGCTCTATGTATGACAACTTGTAGTTTATAGCTTTTAGTTGCTTTGATCAATATTTATAGTGTCTAGTTAACATTGAACCGATAGAAATTAAATAATGTTTTTGTTTTAATCAAAGTATCCTTCCTAGAATTGTTTAAAGAATTTTTTTAGAAAGTTAAATAAAAATAGAAATATCATTCTCTTCTTTTAAATCAAAATATTTCAGTCATATCCAAAATGGTATGAATTAAATGGTTCGTGGCTCGAGACTCACGTTTTCCAATATATTTCATCTATTACATACATTAAATGTTTGTTTCGATAACTAATGTTTAATTTGTTGGATTGGTTCATGGCTCTATATGTACGACAACTCTTAGTTTATAGCTACTAATTACTTTAATCAAAATTTATATGTTCTAGGTATCAAAACGTTTTCTTTAAAGAATTTTTTTAGTACTTAAATCAAAATAGAAAGATACTTCTCTTCTTTTAAATCAAAATATTTAAGTCATAGAGCCACGAAAATTTGGTAAATTTTCAAAACATGTTTTTGAATTATTCCTTTTTTTAATTAACTTCACACTTTGCATTAAATAGTTCATGGCTCAATACTCACTTTAGTCTCTTTGTTTCCTTTTTCATAAATATTTTTTTAAAAAACTTTCTTCTAGAAAATAGTTTCGGAAATTTTATTTTTTACACAATATAAAAATAAATGAAATAAGGATCTTATCAAAAAAGAAAATAAGATCTCTTCTTTTTTAATATTCCATACAAAGTATTTATAAAAAAGAATCTTGAGGACTTTCTAGGGAATTTGTTTTGCTTATTTTTCATTTTTTTTTAAATTTTACTCAGTCTTTTCTTTTTTTTTTTTGAAAATTTTTTATTTCATTAAATTTTATATCATACAAACAAATTTGAATTTTCATACGATTTTAACGAAGAAATTCTAAAAAAGACACTTTAAAAAAGAGTAACAAAAGAGAAAAACAAAGAAATAAAAAAAAGAGTGACCTAAGAGTTATTACCATATAACATTAAGAAAAATAGAAAAAATACATTTATCAACGTTTATGGGTGAAATATTGGATGGAATGTCCCCTCCCAGTCATTACAACAAAACGTAAGGACCCTCGTTTTCTTTTTAAAAATAAAGAGACATGAGAGTTATTTCGACAAAACTCGTATTACCTGTGAGTAATTTTATGTTAAAATCACCAAGTTCATTTCAAGCTCCTATAGTCTCCATATTTTACATGGAATCAAAGTGTGCACAAGCATTAAATCTCTAAGGGTGTCTGTATTGGCCCTGTTTGGTGTAAAAATCTTAGAGTCTCCCTAGCATTTTTAATATGTAAAATTTGCACTAAATATGATTAAAACTGATGGTGTAATTACTTGACCGGTCAAACTATACTAGACCGGGTCTAGAATAGTTTGCTTGATTTGGCAAAGTAAGAAAGGTAAAAACACGCAAATTGACCGGTAGGACTTTAGGTGGAACACCTGTAGCCCGATTTATATTATAACGGAGAATGCACGGGTGCTTTTACAAGGGAGTTTAGAGAGAATGAATTTGGATCCCTCTTTCTGAGGTTTACATGAGTATTTATACTAAGCTAAGGGGACAGGACCACGTGCGCCCACGTGGAGGCACGTGTCTCGGATGTTGAGAGGTGATGGGCCTCGTCTCTTAGCTACCTTGTCGCCTTGTGAGGGGGATTATTCCCTTTGTCAGGTAGTGCCTTGGATGGATTCTTCAGCATCTCCAGTCGTCCTCTACTGACACGGGTCGCTACACGCAAATCCCTCGTAGAATCTCCTCTGCCGACACTTTCCAACCTCAGAAACTACACCGGGTAATCTCTGAGAGGTGAATTCATCGAAGTCTGGAATAAATAGGATGATAACGTAGTTTGACCGGTATACTTTTTTTGTGAAGTGTACCGGTCAAATTTTGGCCGATGACATATCGTTTTGCTGACGATTTAAGTCTCCCTTCCAAAACTTTCGAGATTGACCGGCCAAAGATTTGGCCTTCTCCTTTGACCGGTCTTGGGTGGAATACACCCATCAATAAGCCCTCCACTTCTCGGTCATGCAATTTGTCATGAGCGGGAAGTAAAAAGCCTGAAACAGGACTCTTAAATTTAAATTTCTGGCTCTTCCCGCTTGAAAAATTCAACGAATTTGAATTTCAAATTTGAAAGAACTCGCCACGTGTCGGACACCAGCCGTTACAACGGTCGGCTACCCACACGTCGTTTCGTCTGCCAAGTACCATCATTGCGCCGCCCGTTGTGGCGCAATCTCAAGGCGCCACGTCGCCTACTTTTGGCCTCCCCTCTCCTATATAAAGGCCTCCAACCCCTTTCACTTCTCACTTTTCGCACTTCGCCTCATAGAGCTTTCACCGGTCAAGTCCCTTATCTTTCGCTATCCAGCCCTCCGAGTCAAGTAAGTTCCCCCTTCCTTCTCTTTTTTCTTTCCCGGCCATGTCTTCGTCTAGCGATAGGATCTCGTCCTCAGAGGACTGCTCCTCTGAGGATTCCAACTCATCTTCCTCGACCGGGTCTTCTTCTCCTGAATCTACGCCCGGTCAGGTTCCCAACTCCTCCATTCCCGTGGGCGTAGGACATTTAGTCCACGGGCCACTTTGAAAGCACCCCTCCCTACTGGGCCAGCTACTGCTTGGCCCGGGGATACTGGGACTTGTGCTTTGGGCCCTACGCACCCTCCTCGCCGAAGTACGACGGCCAATGAAAGGCGAAGGGTGGAAGATGCAGGAACTGTAGGGGAGGGCACATAGGTTTTAACGAAATTTTAAAATCCGTAGGAGGCTCCCGGATGGGTATACCCTCCTCTACGAACCTAACTGGCCCAATATCGTTGAACCCCACCGGGAGGATAGGATAAGGTTTCATACCATTTCCCTGGACGCGGGGATAGTTTTTCCCCTTCGCCCCCTCCTTACTGAGGTTTGCCATGCGTTTAGGATTTTGCCCGGCCAAATAACTCCTAACGCCCACCGATACCTCCACTCCTTCGTAAATATCTGTACCCATCTGAAAATCTTCCCTTCTTTGCGTCTTTTCCTTTTTTGCTTCGAAGTCCTACCGGGCGGGGCTGGCTGCGAAGGTTTTGTATTCTTCAAAGCCCGCACCGGTAGGAAGTTCATTTCCGAAGTCCCCCAGAGTAACCGGGGATGGAAGGAAAAATTTGTTTTCATCGAATTTCCCCCCTTCTTCACTCCTCTGGCCGGCCTGAAGTGGAATGATCATCTGCTCGACCAAGAGTACACTGCACCGGCTTCCTCCCCGGACTTGGAAGCGAATCTTGAGGTCCTCATCCGTGGGGATCCTTTCACCGGGAGGACTTTCCATTATGGCAGCTGGGTTTGGAGGGTTGAATCGGGTGGCGAGGGTACCTCCCAGGCCCATGATGCAGCGGGGCGCGGGGTACCCTCCCCGGGCAACACTGCGGAGGCTGAGGACAACTCCCACCCAGGTACTTTTCAGTTTTCTCGTGATTCGTAGTTGACCGGTCAAACTACTTGTACTTAACGGTTTTAGTTTCTTTTGCAGATATGGAGTTCGAAGAGTTCGCCATCCCTGACGACCAACCAGCCGGGGAGACCAGGGGCTCCGAAGCCAATCCTGCCAGGACTTTCCTGGTCAATCCAGAGACCGTGGAAATCCTGGATGAAGATGAGCCCCAAGACAACCGGTCTAAGGGGAAGGAGAAGGAGAAGGCCGGTCGCCGGGTGAAGAAGGTGGCGACCACGCACCCTTCCTACGCCAAGAAAAGGGCAAGGTCAGATCCTGAGCCGGCCGGCCAGACTATCGAGGAGGCCTTCATCAATCTGGGGCTAAGGCTAAAGGAGGTAAGTCTTGATGCCATCCCGGTCTTTATTTGTTTTTTTTATCGAGAAACTTACCGGTCTATTTCGTTTTTGTGCAGGCGGGGGAGATCGGGCCGCAAACAGTGGACCGGTTGGGGATGAGTTCCCCTTCTGAAGTCGACCGGCTGAAGAAGGAGAAGGAAGAGATGGCACTCATCCTGAGGAGCCAGGCTGATGAGCTGATCCGGCTGTTTGGGCTGGCCGGGGCAATGAAGACTGAAATCTCCCAACTGAAGGAGGAGAATGGCCGGCTTCTGGACGAGGTCTCTGAAGCCAAGAGGGAAGCAGCGGAAAAGGAAGAAACCTTCCCCGAGCGCGCTGTCGCCTGGGTTGAAGAGAACAAAGCCGTTGCTGCCCGGGTGATGACGGCGACGCCGGAGGCCGCGATGGAGTCCTTCAGGCTTCTGTATCGGGAGCCTGAAGGAAGGAGAATGATCACCGCGATTGGATCCTTCGGATTCAAGAGTGGACAAAAGAAAGACCGGATCGCCTCTCACCGGGCACTGCTTAGAAGAGACCCAAGCTTCAGCGCGACATCTTACGGCCTGGCTCCAATCCTTGAAGAAGAGCCCATTCCCCCTTTCCCCTTAGATTAGGATCTCCCCGGCCTAGACCGGTTGTTCTTTGTAAAACTTCAAACTCATTCTCCCGGGAATGCCCGGTGTAACTGTAAAACATTTAACATTCTTATTTCGTTTGAATGCCATGTTTTCTCTTCATACCGGTTAATCTTCCACGTCTGATTGTTTGATTTATTTTTTTGATCTTGCTCCTTAGAATACCATCATAGAAATTCTGACCGGTACATAAATCAGGCCACTTCCCAATTGTTTTCGACCGGTGGAACTTCAAAGTTCTCTTTGATTACTTCATCTGAAGGATTAGCTCAAGTAACCTTGACCGGTCAGACCCCCATTTTCAAACTTAACAAGTTTGACCGGCCGAACTTTACTTTCGCATTTTGGATAACTTCACCAATCCCTTTGGTAAAATATACTTTGACCGGTGAATTCCCACGCCATGGTTTGACCGGTCGAATGCCTTGTCTTTCGATGGATGTAGAACTTTCGAAGTTCTGTTGTGCCCATACCCGACCGGGGTTTTTTTTTATCAGTTGGTTGTAGATGGAAACACTTGTAACCTAGCTAGAAATTCTTGAAGTATTCTTAACCGGTAAGAATACTGGAGATTTAACCATGTCGAATGGTTTCGAACCCTCTCTAAGGTTCAAATGCACCCTTCTTCCAGGGCCCCCTCTTCCGGGTGATTAAGTCTTTTAATGGCCCTTTGATTTCTACCATCCCGGGAAGGCCTTAGCTCACCCCCCCGTTCAAGTCTTCCCTGAGAAGGGGGATATAGGATGCGCCACGGTGGACGATCCCCTTCTATTTCTTTTAATGGGCATCTTTTTAGTCCCCAATCACTCTGACGGCGCCGGCTGATTCCCCGACACCAGTCAAACCTCATGGGCCCGTGTAAGTACGGTTCGAACCCTCTTCCAGGTCCAGCCCTCTTGCAGGCATACCTTCTTCCGGGCCCCTCTTCCGGGTTTTGATATTTTTTCTATTATACTGAGCAAGACCGGTGTAGTAACCAGCGTGCCAGGTCCGGGCCTGTGTCTCAGTTGGCTTAGCCAAGTGGATTCGATCCACCCAGGAAGCCCTCCTAGGATAGGTTCGACCTATCAATCCTGCCGCTACCAAATAGAGTATTGAACATCATCGGTTTGATTGATAATAAAGTAGGCCTTGCCTAGTATTACAATCATTTGTAGAACTTGCGAAGATGATGGGAATTCCAGGTTCTTTCTACCGGTACCCCTTCAAGAGTTTCTAACCGGTATGTCCCCGGGCGAATGATGGCTCTAACCCTATATGGGCCTTCCCAGTTTTTTGCTAGCTTTCC